GGGCCACATGTCAGAAGCTCAATTCCTAAATGAAGCCTTAATGGCAGGAAGTCTGGTGTTGGAAGCTGTGCATTCAGGGCAGATTCCAAAAAAGGGAAGACCTGGTGTCTGAGACTCTAGTCCTGATGGTGGAAGGTCTGGGGCAGGGGTGGGGATTGAGTGCTCTAGTTATGGAGGGAGGAGTCATTGCTGTACATCTTACATGGCTTGGTAAAGTATGGGAAAGTTTCAGGTTCAGGCTCGGGCTCAGTCATAATAATTAGGGAGGACTGGAGAATTGCTGCCGTGACTCAGGGTACGGCAGCAGTGGACTTGAGGGCAGAAAGTCGGTGGAAATGGGGGCAGATAGGGAGGGAGGACACATGAAAGCCAATCCCTTAAAGGTCATTCTCACTAGCTTAGGCTCTGCCTCTGGTCCTGGTTCAGTGATAATGGAGAGCATTCACTCAGGACAGAATTGCAATAGCTTCCAGGGAAGTGGAGGAATGCGGAGAGGGAAAGGAGCCCTCGAACCCCAGTCCTGACAGGGGTTGTGGCATCTACTTTCACTTAAATGGCAAAGGCTTTAGCCTACAGTGTGGTTCAGGCTCTACGTTCTGCATACCAACCTATCTCAGGTTCAATGTGAGGTGTTACGTGTACACTGCACTGAGTTATGCAAATAGACCTTAAGCGCCTCATCTAACATATTCTCTACCAACAGACCAGGAGGAATGGGAACAAGCATTTATTAAGTGTGTGCTGGGCACTGTGCTAAGCCCTTCACAAATACCATCTCGTTTGAGATAGGGGGAAATGCCATCCTCCTCTCCATACACAGAGATACAATCTCCCTCCCACATCGGGAAGGGAACACTCCCTGAACAATTCTCACTACAAAGGCTGCATCTTGCCTGGATCCCCATTCCTGGCTCCAGCTTCTTGCCTCGCTCTCATCCCTCTCTGCCTCCTGTTTCTCCACAGAGCTTCTCCAGGAACCTTCTTCTTGGATGAGTTGCTACTATCTCCTGGACTCATCTTTGGTTGCTAGTTTCTTCTTTAAAGTTCATTTTACTGCTCTTTTATGACTTACAAACAACATGCCTAGGGCTAATCAATATATTTAAGGCCAGCACAGAAAAAAGATCCCTTAGGTCAGATCTTTTATTCAACACTCACCACCATACCCTTATCCCACTCCACCAGCACCACCATCTCTGCTGTTGAAATTCCCCTGGGAAATCCCTCAATATTTAGGTTGGAATACATATATTCCTTTCTACTGCTATCATCCCTCTGGCTACTAAGGTCATGCAAAATTCTCTGGACCTTTGGCAAACCTCAAAGCAGCCAACTTCATCTTGTATTCTCGTCTCTTTGCTTATGTTGTTGTACCTCCGGCAAAACCTTTTTTTTTTATTAATTTATTTTGATTTATCAATAATCATTTCCATATGCTTTTGAGTCTAAAATTTTTCTCCCCCTTCCTCCCCACTACCCTCCCCAAGATGGCGCACAATACATTTACATTCATATGAAACATATTTTCACATTAGTGATGTTGTAAGTAAAAATTAAAACCAATAGGAAGAACCAACAGAAAGAGGAAACAAAACTCAACAGAAAAGAAAAAAAAATAGTAATTCAACTTCCATAGTTCTTTCTTTGGATATGGATAGCATTTTCCATCACAAGGCCTCTGGAGATGTCTTAGATCCTTGTATTGCCAGGAAGGGTTAAGTTTATCAATATTAGCCATCACACAACGTGGCTGTTATTGTGTACAACGTTCTCTTGGTTCTGCTCACTTCACTCAACATCAGACCATACAAGTCTTTGCAGGTTTTTCCCAAGTCAGCCTGTTCATCGTTTCTTATAGCACAACAGTATTCCATCACATTCATATACCACAACTTGCTCAGCCATTCCCCAATTGATGGGTATCCTCCCAATTTCCAATTCTTTGCCACCACAAAAAGAGCTGCTATGAATATTTTTGTACATATAGGTCCTTTTCCCATTTGTGTGATCTCTTTGGGATATAGCCCTAGAAGTGGGATATAGCCCTAGAAGTGTTATTGCTGGGTCAAAGGGTATGCACATTTTTATAGCCCTTTGGGCATAGTTCCAAATTGTTCTCCAAAATGGTTGGATCATTTCACAACTCCACCAACAATGCGTTAGTGTTCCAATTTTCCCACATTTTCTCCAACATTTATCATTTTCCTGTTTTGTCATGTTGGCCATTCTGATTGGTGTGATGTGGTACCTCAGAGTTGTTTTGATTTGCATTTCTCTAATCAATAGTGATTTGGAGCATTTTTTCATATGACTATAGATGGCTTTAATTTCTTCATCTGAGAACTCTCTGTTCATATCCTTTGACCATTTATCAATTGGGGAATGGCTTGTATTCTTATAAATTTGACTTAATTCTCTATATATTTTAGAAATGAGGCCCTTATCAGAGAGACTGGTTGTAAAAATTCTTTCCCAATTTTTTACCTTCCTTCTAATCTTAGTTGCATTGGCTTTGTTTGTGCAAAAACTTTTCAATTTAATGTAATCAAAATTATCTATTTTGCTTTTCATAATGTTCTCTATCTCCTGTTTGGTCATGAATTCTTCTTTTCTCCATAGATCTGACAGGTAAACTATTCCTTGCTCTCTCAGTTTGCTTATAGTATCAGCCTTTATATCTAAATCATGAACCCATCTAGACTTTATTTTGGTATATGATGTGAGATTTTGGTCTATGCCAAGTTTCTGCCATACTCTGTTCCAGTTTTCCCAAGAGTTTTTTTCAGAGTGGGTTCTTATCCCAGAAGCTGGGGTCTTTGGGTTTATCAAATAATAGATTACTATAGTCACTGACTACTGTGTCTTGCATATTTAACCTATTCCACTGATCCACCACTCTATTCCTTAGCCAGTACCAAGCAGTTTTGATGATTGCTGCTTCATAATACAATTTAAGATCTGGAATGGCTAGGCCACCTTCCCCTGCATTTCTTTTCATTAGTTCTCTTGATATTCTGGACCTTTTGTTCTTCCAAATGAATCTTGTTATAATTTTTTCTAACTCTATAAAATAATTTTTTGGTAGTTTGATTGGTATGGCACTGAATAGGTAAATTAGCTTAGGTAGAATTGTCATTTTTATTATATTAGCTCAGCCTACCCATGAGCAACTGATGTTTTTCCAATTATTTAGATCTGACTTCATTCGCATGAAAAGTGTTTTGTAATTGTGTTCATAGAGTCCCTGGGTTTGTTTTGGGAGGTACACTCCTAAATATTTTATAATGTCTATAGTAAGTTTAAATGGAATTTCTCTTTCTATCTCTTGCTGTTGGGCTTGGTTGGTAATATATAGAAATGCCAATGATTTATGTGGGTTTATTTTATAGCCTGCAACTTTGCTAAAGTTGTTTATTATTTCAAGTAGTTTTTTACTTGATTCTCTGGGATTCTCTGAGTATAACATCATGTCATCTGCAATGAGTGGCAGCTTTGTTTCTTCTCTGCCTATTCTAATGCCTTCAATGTCTTTTTCTTCTCTTATTGCTAAAGCTAACGTTTCCAGTACGATATTGAACAACAGTGGTGATGATGGACATCCTTGTTTCACTCCCGATCTTATTGGAAATGCTTCTAGCTTGTCCCCATTACATATTATGCTTGCTGAAGGTTTTAGAGAGATGCTATTTATTATTTTAAGGAAGACTCCATTCATACCTATGCTCTCTAGTGTTTTTAATAGGAATAGGTATTGTATTTTGTCAAAAGCTTTTTCTGCATCTATTGAGATGATCATGTGGTTTCTGTTAGTTTTGGTGTTGATATGATGAATTATGCTGATAGTTTTCCTTACATTGAACCAGCCCTGCATTCCTGGTATAAATCCTACCTAGTCATAATGTATTACTCATATGATAAGTTGCTGTAATCTATTTGCTAATATTTTGTTTAAAATTTTTGCATCTATATTCATTAGAGAAATTGGTCTATAATTTTCTTTTTCTGTTTTGACTCTTCCTGGTTTAGGTATCAGCACCATATTTGTATCATAAAAAGAATTTGGTAAGATTCCTTCTTTACCTATTTTCCCAAATAGTCTATATAGTATTGGAATTAATTGTTCTTTAAATGTTTGATAGAATTCGCATGTAAATCCATCTGGCCCTGGAGATTTTTTCCTAGGGAGTTCATCAATGACTTGTTCAATTTCTTTTTCTGAGATGGGGTTAAGTATTTTACTTCCTCTTCTGTTAATCTGGGCAATTTATTTTTTTGTAAATATGTATCCATTTCACTAAGATTGTCAAATTTGTTGGCATATAGTTGGGCAAAATAATTCCTAATTGTTGTTTTAATTTCTTCTTCCTTGGTGGTAGCTTCACCCTTGTCATTCTTGATACTAGTGATTTGGTTTTCTTCTTTCTTTTTTTAAATTAGATTAACCAAAGGTTTATCTATTTTATTGGTTTTTTCATAAAACCAGCTCTTAGTTTTATTTATTAGTTCAATAGTTTTCTTAATTTCAATTTTATTAATTTTCCTTTGGTTTTCAATATTTCTAATTTGGTGTTTAATTGAGGATTTTTAATTTGTTCTTTTTCTAGTTTTTTTAGTTGTATGCCCAATTCATTGATCTCCTCTTTTTCTATTTTATTTATGTAAGTATTTAAAGATATAAAACTTCCCCTAAGAACTGCTTTTGCTGCATCCCATAAGTTTTGGTATGTTGTCTCATTTGTCATTCTCTTGAATGAAGTTATTGTTTCTATGATTTGTTGTTTGACCCATTCACTCTTTAGGATTAGATTACTTAGTTTCCAACTAATTCTTAGTCTATCTTTCCATGGCCCTTTATTACATATAATTTTTATTGCATCATGATCTGAAAAGGATGCATTTAATATTTCTGCCTTTCTGCACTGGATTGTGAAGTTTTTATGCCCTAGTACAAGGTCAATTTTTGTGTATGTGCCATGTACCGCCAAGAAAAAAGTATATTCCTTTCTATGCCCATTCAGTTTTCTCCAGAGGTCTATCATACCTAACTTTTCTAATGTTCTATTCACCTCCTTAAGCAAAACCTCTTTTCTCAGAACTTTGTAGTTTTTCACAGAATCTCAGATTTGGAAAGAACCCCTGGAGACCATTTAGTCCAACCCCCACCTAAACAGGAATCCCTCCACAACATTTTTTAGAAGTGGTCAAGGAGCCTCTGCTTAAAGACTTCCAGTGATGGGGAATTCCAAGACCTCCTGAGGCAGCCCATTCGCTTCTGGAAGGTTTGTTTTACATCAAGCCTTATTTGCTTTTCTGTGACTTCCAACTATTGCCCCTAGCTTTGCCCTCTAGGGCCAAGCAAATCAAGTTTGAAACCTCTTCTCTAGAGCAGACATCCCCACTTCCTTCAAATGATCCACTCACGGGATGGTCTCCAGTGGTCTCACCATCCTAGTCTCGCTCTTCTTCTAGCTTGCTGAGGTCTTTCCTAAAGTGTGGGGCCAGAACAGAACATGAGGCTCCAGATACGGCCTGAGCGTGGCAGAGCTCAGCAGAAGCATCTCCTTCCTTGGGCTGTCTGCTTCTGTTAGTGGAACTCGGGCTCACATTAGCCTTTGTGACTATCTCATCATTTACAAAATCATACAGTGAATGTGGACTGTATGGGGTGACCAGATACTTGATCATTCAAGGGACATCTCCATAGGCAGAAATAACTGCAAAGGTAAAGGTGGGCAACAGAAGAGATCTGTGCCGGTGTCGCCTAAGCACAATGCTCCAGACAGAAGCAGAGGAAGCCATGAAAATGGCGCCCTAAATGTCTCTCCCATCTCCTACAACTTCTTTCTCTACCTTTGTCTCTCCGAGGAAATTCCAGCAATGGATGGGAAAACAGTTAGAAAGGAAGGATAAAAAGAAAATGAGGGCAACTTTAAAGTAGCAAAATGTATGTAAAGTATGCAAATGCTTATGGAAATGAAGTGCTGAATATGGGCCCCTAGCAAATTGCCAACAGAGTTTCCCCTAATAGGTTGTGCACTTCTACATTACAAACACAAAGTCAGAATAGAGACAATTTAGAATTTGTAAAATAAAATATTTCAGCAGTCCAGATAATTTTGATTTCTTCCGGAAACATTCTTCAGCAGCCCCTGACAGGTCATGGCTTGTCTTACTATTCTTTTCAGAAAGAGACCTTGGGGCTCAGGCAAGTGTCACGGCACCACAGCCGCAGTGGATGATGTAGATGGTTGTGAGTAAGTAGAAAGGCCTTTATTCCTAGGAAAGTAATATCTGATAAAGGTTGTCAAGGAAGAAATGGTGCAAAATGTAATATAAGAATATAACAAAACCAACCTGTGTTTTAGGTAGGAGATTCTGGAACCCTCTCCAAAATGATGACTCCTCCTCACTCTCCTTTTAATTTAACTTATCATAATTATTACTGGCATCTGTTATCAGTACTTACTACTACTATTATGGATTAAATTGCATTCTGATGCCTCATTGTGGCGTGCCGGTAACTGTGGGTTCTAATACCCTTTGCTAAGACACTACAAGGTCCAGCAAGTGTTACTAAGCTGGAAAGGAGTGGAGGACAGGTCCAGTGACAGACCGTATGTCTGTTACCTGAGGACAAACCCAAGTTCAGAAAAGCTCATCACAAGGCTGGCTCTCGGGTGACAAATTTTTTGGCAGTGGCAACTCTGAAAGATTATATTCTAAGTTACGGAGGAGTTGCCATCTTTCATTAAGAAAGTACTCAGGCCTCTAAAGTCTATCTTGTGCACTGAAATCATTTTTTATAGTGAACTGAAAGGCACATGAATCTCTTTGGTGAGTTTTCTAACGGTTTAACTATCCTGAGTAAAAGGATATGTACTCTGACTCTATGGAGTAGTTTGATAGAACTCTCTGCTCCTTCTTAATACTGGATTGAGGAGGGGGCAGCTAGGTGGTGCAGTGAATAGAGCTCTGACCTTGGAGTCAGGAGGACCTGAGTTCAAATCCAGCCTCAGACACTTAACCCTTACTAGCTGTGTGACCTTGGGCAAGTCACTTAACCCTGATTGCCTCAGTTTCCTCATCTGTCAAATGAGCTGGAGAGGGAAACAGTAAACCACTGTAGTATATCTGCTGAGAAAACCCCAAATGGGGTCACAAAGAGTCAGACACAAATGCCTCAAGAACAACAGCTTAGGAGACATGAATATCAACTGTCTTAATTCCTTTCACTTTTAAATATAGTACTGTAAGTCTGATTTTTCCCCCCAATATGAAACTCGCTCTGCCATCTTTCCCTCTGGTAAACATAATGTTCAACACCTGTCCAAAGCACTGAAGTCCAAGATGATGAAGGTTGGTTTAAGTCCCCCTCCACTGAACCCCATATCTCTCCCCCAACCCTAACCTCATATTTGGTTTAGTTGTTTATGCCTGAGAGGTCCATGACACACCACCTACACATTTCCAAGTCAGAAGACGCTTTCTGGTTTCTCTCCTGGAGAATAAGAAGATGATTCTGATATAACCACACCATTTTCAAATGCAGAATTTTCTACCCTGACAGTGCTGCAATTTCTGAGTGACCAGCTCAGCTGCTAGAAATCACAGAAAGACTCAGCAGGAATGAGGCCTACAGATGGACCACAAATGGCTCATTCTGTAGAGCACTGAAAATTCCATTTTAATTTGTAGGGCATTGTTTGGATACTGACACAATATGTAATTTTCACTAACTGACTTTTTAACAAATATGCACACTATATCATCTCCTTCAATAGAAATAATTTGCATTATGTTTGCCAATTGGATGACACTGTTTTCATCTCTGAAGAACAAGTACTCATAATGACCAAGTGAAAGGATACACATAAGTTGAGACACCTTTTGCTGCTAAATGTTTCCGTATGAGGCGCTCTGTACCATACCAGTTAAACCCTTTGGTAGCATGTCCAATGCGTGGAAGATGGACACTCGCTACAAAAGAACAAATAAATCTGAATAAGTCAATTCATCTGAGGTTGATTAATAGATGTGCAGTCTATGTCAGAGGTGATAAACCACACTATAAGAGTCACTTTCGGGGCAGCTAGGTGGCTCAGTAGATAGAGCACCAGCCCTGAAGTCAGGAGGACCTGAGTTCAAATCTGACCTCGGACTAAACACTTGACACTTACTAGCTGTGTGACCCTGGGCAAGTCACTTAACCCCAATTGCCTTTAAAAAAAAAAAAAGGTCACTGTCTGGTGTCCTGTGGACAGACATTTACATGATCACAGCATGCTTCATTCATGCCTATGAGGAACTGACCCTGATGATACAGGTAACTCCTCTAACATTTTGGAAGAGAATTTAATGGGGGAAATCATGCTTTTTTTTACTGCTTCCAAGGTGGACTCTCTAAACCCAGAAATAAGTCTGTATGGCACTGGAAACTCAATGTGCTACCAGAAATAAAGTGGGAGATGTTAACTAAAATACACAGTGATTTTCTTACGAGTCAATCAACTCAACCAAGTGTGAGAGATACATCCACAGAAGCCAGATTTAATTAGTCATGAGTTTGCTTCGAAGATTTGCCGTCAGGCTTAATATCTACATTACTGTCATTCTATCATGTACTTTTTTGTGGTCAAAATAATACTAAGGGGAATCTAATGCTCCCAGTACCCACAAATGAGTTACAGAAAACTTGTCCCATTCCCCTCATTTCATGACATGGGGGCAGAGTGGCTTAAAGGTTCTAGATTTTTGAATGTGGAAAAATTGCTTTAAGAGGCAGGGGTCTGCAATGGAGGGGAAAAAAAAAAAAACTAGGCTGAAATCCGAAGCCTGGGATTCTAATTCTGGCTTTGCCACTAACTCGGCGTGAGACCCTGGGCTCACACTTTATCTCTGTGCCTCAGTCCTCTGTTCTGTAACATGGGGATAAAAGTATTTTGAAGGGTTGCTTTGAGGCTTCTATAAAACAATAAACATGAAAGCACCTTGGGGTGATGTCAGGTATGTTCCCGGCTTGTTCCCTGGCCCCAAGGTTTAACTCTACCATGAATGAGGAGTGGGCCTTATTATACACGTGTACACTAAGCCTGCTTTACTCAGAGAACAGAAATACAAATATTATTAAAACACCAGTATAAACACACTCACCCTTCTTTTTCCTCGCAGCTAAAGATATCTTTTTCAAACCCTCGTCCAGTGCCGCCATCTTGATACCAGACAAGGCGTTGAAGCGATCCCGGTGCTGGGCCACGATCAATGCCAACTAGACAGAAAAGCCCACAGACAGCACTGCAAAGGGGAGTGTAGACACAGCACCTGACTCCGGGGGAGTGGCTGCCCATCGTTTTGGTTTGGTCTCTTTTGAATGTTCCAAATTCCCCGCCTCATCTGCAACTGCATCACCCCTGCCCCTATCTCTCCTTACTTATCCTGCTTTGAGATCAATCACAGTTCCTCCCCTCCCCCCTTTCAGGATAACCATTAAAAGCAGAAACAGGAAGGCAGAACAGTCTTGAGTACTCTGGGCCATCTGGTGGAGATACGGCTAATATGGCAGGCAGCATCACTCTCTTCTCAGCCTGCCCATGATGCTCGCAGAGGGATACAGCCACAGAATGGGCCGGTGGCTGCCCCGGATAAACCGCTCTCTATTTCCTGGGAGCAGCTTCATTAGGGTGATATGGGGAAGCTGCTCTGAGGGCAGCCACACAGGCCACCAAAATCAGGAAAGCCAAGCTCTCCTTGAGCTGGGTTGACAAATATCCTGGGTGACAGCACTCGTCACTGCTGATCATCATCTCCTCCTGCAAACTCTCTCCTCTCTAGGTCTGACCGCTCCTTCTCAGCCTCCTTTGCTGGATCCTCCTCCAGGTCATGCCCCAAGGCTCTGTCCTAGACGCTCTTCTCTTTTCACTCTATACTACTTTGCTTGGTGATTGCATCGGCTCCAGTGGGTTCAATTATCATCTCCATGCAGATAATTCCCATTGCTACATACCCAGTGCTAGTCTCTCCCACGTCCCCAAATTGCCTTTTGGAAATCTCAGACTGGCTGCCCAGAGGCACCTCGAACTCAACCTATCCAGAACAGAATTCGTTCTCTTTCTCCCCAAAATGCTCCCTCTTTTGAACGACCCTAACAGTGCTAGGGCACCCCCATCTTCGTAGGCACCAGGCCTGCAACCTCAGCGTTCTCAACTCTTCACTCAACCCACATATCCAATTCTCTGCTGGGTCTTGTCGATCCCACCTTCACAGTATCTCCCCTACACATTCCCTTCTCCCCCCTTACACAGCCACCACCCCCGAGCCTAGCCTGCCTCACACCTCTCCCCACTCTAACCGGTCCTCCACTCGGCCACTAAGGCAATGACCTGATCATCTCTCCCTTCTCACGGTGATCTCCAAAGACTGCCTCTTACTTACAAGATAAAATGGCGATTCCTGTCTTTGGCATTTAAAGCTCTTTATGACCTGGCTCATTCCTGCCTTTCCAGTCTCCTCACACCTCACTCCCCTCTATGCACTCTATGATCCAGCAACACTGTTCTAGGTACCATCTCTCCCATGTGACACTCCAGTGCCCATCTTTGTTCCTTTGCAGTTAGGTTCTCGACACCTGGGATGCCCTCCCTCCTCATCTCTGCCTCATTTGCGTGGCTTCCTTTGAGACTTGGCTCAAACCCCACCTTCTGCAGGTGGCCCTACCCCATATGTCTGCCCTTCCCCTCCCCGCCACTAAGTGCGCCTAACCCACTGAGATGACCTTCTATCTACTCTCCATCTCTCTGTATGTACCTTGTTATCTACTGGTTACCTCCCCCATTAGAATGTAGGCTCCTTGAAGGCAGGGGCCATATTTTTGCCTTTGTTTGTATCCCTATGCTTAGCACAGTGATGGATGAGAAAGAAATGCTCATTTAAGGCTCAAAGGTTAGAATCTTGGTGTGTAGCAGTGTTAAGTAATGAGTAAGTTTTTTCCATTTTTGTTTCTAGGAATGTGAACTGCCCACGCCTCCCCCGAAACAAAGAGGAGAATCACATTGACATTCATGATTCTGGCTGGAAAATCACGTCTTGATAACATTTTTAATTTTAATCATTTAAACCCAACCCATGCTCTCACAATGTATTTTATGAGAGTTCTCCAAATCTCCCAGAACTCCATACTGGTCTCCAAAATTAAAAAATAAGAGATGACAGGATACTTACCAAGTCCTGTCCTTTGCTTCTAGACTCCTTGTCATCAATAGGGAATAAAAGGACTCCTCCCAGTTTCAGATCTGCGCATAAACCACAGAGCATTAAATCCATTGAATTAGCCATCAGAATAGGAAACAGTTCCGCACAAAAGTCCTTTAATGTTTGATTCTTCTATTTTTCCACCCTCACATCCAGTAAACGCCCAAGTTTTGTCAAGTCTTTTTTCAAAATGTCTCCTACATTCCATACCTTCTTAGTCCCACTGTCCCCACTCTAGTCCAGAGACTTGTCGCCTCACTCTTTTTTTTTTTTTAAAGGCAATTGAGGTTAAGTGACTTGCCCAGGGTCACACAGCTAGTAAGTGTCAAGTGTTTGGTCTGAGGCCGGATTTGAACTCAGGTCCTCCTGACTTCAGCGCTGGTACTCTATCCACTGCGCCACCAAGCTGCCCCCTGTCGCCTCACTCTTAAGGTTGATGCCACCCTCTCTCCGTTGGTCTCCCTTTCACTAGTCTCTCTGCCATGGATAATCCATGCTGCATAAATGTTTTAAAGTAGGTACCAAACTCACCCCTAAATCCCAGTATAGCTCCCTGAACCAGATTAAAATGTAAATGGGAAATGTCCAACAAAATAAAAAAAATTCAATATCACATAGATAATATTAATTTGTGGTTTTCTAAGTCAACATGTGGTGCCTTTTTGAGTTGAACACCATTGTTTTAAAGCACCCTTCTGATGTCAGTCCTTTGTTCTGAGTATAACAGTGGTTACTCATTTACTACAGGACAAAATTCACAGTCTTCAGATCAGTGTTGAAGGCCCACCACAGCCTAGACCAAACTTACCTCTCCCAGTTATCCCACTGGCCCACAGTGTGCTTCCTTCTGAACCTGCCAGACTTCTCTGCTTGTGCTCTCTCACTTCTCTGCCTTGGCTTCTGCCATTTTGCCACCTAAAACTCTCCCACCTTCACTGACCATCCCAGAGGCCTAGTCTTCCCTCACCCCTCCAGCCTGAAGTGAGTAATGTCTCCTCCTCTGGGATGATAGAAGCCATTCTCCTGGTACTCAGTGGAATACCTTCTTTTGGGGGTAATTTAAGCTTTTATATTTGTACGTCTTGGCTTCTGAACTGGCCCAGCTCCCTGGGGGATCATGCCCCATGCTTTTCTGTATCCCCCACAAAGATGGTCATGGCTCCTTTTCTCGACATTGTTATGCAGGTATTCCCAAAGGTTCTACCCTAACACAAAACACCCTCTCAAAGGTCTCTTGTGATAATCTCACCTGCTTCCCCTGAGGCACTTATCTTCTCTACGTGGATACCTCGCAGATCTGTATCTCCAGGAATTAAACTCTCCAGACCCATAGTTTCAACCACCAGCCGGACACTTCTACCTGGATTTCTTGCCAGTGCCCCAAACTCAGCCTGTCTAAAACTCAACTTGTCCTCCTTCCCTCAAAACCTGCTTCTCCTTTTAACTACCCTATTTCTGTCACTGACAGCACCATTCAGTCACCCTTTCCCAAATGCTTGAAACCTTGGCATTATCTTTGACTCATTCTTCCCTCTCCCTGTGACCCGGCCATATTCATTCAATTGCCAAGGCCCATACAATCATTTGCCTGAAACTACTGCATCAGAACCCTAACTGATTCCAGTCTCCTCTGCACATCAGTCCTCCCTTCAAATCACTGCCAGGTTCATCTTTCTTGTGCACAGGTCCACTCACATAAATCTTCTGACCAAGATGCCTCAATAGCTCCCTTCTGCCTGCCAATTAAAGGCCATACTCCCTAGCCTAGAATTCAAGACATTTCCCGATCTAATTCTCGACCTCAGACTACTACATTTCAAAGCATTTTCAAATCCACTCTGGTTCAAGATGTCATCAGAGTCTTATGAAGCAGACCAAGCATGATCATCCCCATTTTACAGATGAGGATACAGTGATGAAGAGGTCCAAGGTCACAGAGCAAGTAAGAAGTGGAACTAGAACTAGAGCCCGGGAGAGCTCTTGATTCCCCAACACCAGCTCAGTGTTCTTTCCCTAGTACAGCAAGCTGCTTCCTGGGGGCTCCTTCAGCTTTACGGTATACCTGGTTCTTTTCTCTTTGTTTCTTACCCTTCATCTTCCCTGCCAGTTCGTATATTTTCCTTGGTTCGGCTGATCGAACTTCTAAGGCTGTGAACAAGCCACCTCTGCCCCAGCGTCCAGAATCGTCTGGTGGGGAGAGAGAGGGACCGGTCATTAATGGAAAATGAAGTCAAATCCCCCACAGACACAACCTCACTTCTAATGGGCTCACAGTAAGCAACGTCCTTCCCTTCCAGAGAGAGGCGTGATCTCCTATGGGTGCTGGGTTGGTTTCCAGCCCAATGTTTAGACTTGGACTCTTGCCAGATGTCCTAGAAACCTGTACTTCAAAATCCCCCTGGGAAAGAGGTGACTTTGGGAAAGACCGTAACAGGATCTTGTAAGGGCTTCTATTTCCTTGTGCCTTCCATGATCAAGAAAGGGTGCAGTTACTTATGAATCAATAAGGAAAGCATGGTTAGAATACTAATATTTGCCTTCAACTAGGAGGCTTCCTGATTGGCTGAGAGTGAATCTAGGATTGTTGAACAAACCAATGGTTTCTGCCCAGAAGGTCAAGCTGGATCAATGCCAAGTTGGCAAGTAGTATTTAGATAGGCTCTTGGTACTCCAATCTCATATTCTTATTGAATAATTATCAAAACAGGCACCCCCTTTCCCAGTCATGGGGCTAGGAGTAAGTAGTAGCAGAAGGGGGGAAAGACCTTGTAATAATTCAACCTGACAACCAGTCCGTTCCCAAAGTCCACAAAAAAATGCTCCATTTTTTTCAACCACCCAAAAAATATAATGAGCATTTTACTCAAACAGGGTTTTGGTTTTTTTTTTTTGCCCCTTTTGGTAGGGGACAGAGACTAGACAACAGGAGAGGGACGCAATCTCCACATGACAAACTGAGCCAATAGCTGCAGCAGAGTCATTGGCATCCTTTCAGGGTTCTACCCAGAACCACTTGATCTCTCTATTTCACCAGTGGTCTGTATGATAAAGAAGTGGGGGGATCCCCCCACCCCACCCCAACACACACACATATACCCTGCTTTTTCCATACCTATGCAGTGAACAATGATGGCATCCTCTGCTCCTGCCTGGGGGTGGGTGACATCCCCACTAACATAATTGATCGAAATCGGGTCTTGATCTTCATAACTGAATTCGATGTCGCTCTCATCATTTCCTTCCTCAACTTCCTCTGTTTCACTTTCCTCAGAGGGCAGGCAGGATGACTGGTAATTGTTTGACTCCCACCATGCCATCCTAAAACAAATCCATGAAAGAAAAGAGCAAATTAAATCCCTGACATGTTTTTCCCCTAGGGCCTGTTTCACACTTCTTTCACTAATAATAAATGCCAAACACAAATGCTGTCTGACAATCCTAGAAACCTGTACAGATAAAGGATATTCCTTATTGTCTGCCTGCAAGTAAGTAAAAGAAGAAATAATACTGCTATGTCTAATAGCCAAATGATTCATCTTTAGATGGTGCCTACCATCTCCATTTCTCACTGGTCTTTAAAAACACACCTGAAGAAAAGGCTGTTTATATAAATTTCTTCACTTCTTTTTGTCAGGATATTACCAACACAATCTTTAAATCTGTCTGTTTCAGCAGGATGCCTGAGCTAGCATCCCCAAAGTATTCAGGCCATTTTGCTGAAGCAGACTGGATTTTGAGAGCTATTTTTGGTGCAACCTTTAAGAAATCACTTATCCTACTACCAATGGGGTCCCAAAGCATCACAGAAGTGTCCTGCACCTTTAGAATTGGAACAAATAGCACTGTCACGTACTCGTGGGTGAATACAACAGAATCTAATCCCTTGGCAAACTCCTCTACCATCTAAGGCCCTGAGCTAAATAGGGTATTCCTGCCTTTATGTCTTTTAATGCAGTTATTCAATCTCTCTTTCCCAAGTAGGACGGCGGCTAAAATTATCTACGTGCTTTGTCCTCTACCAATCATTCTCTGCATCATGGCGCTCCCTTCTCCTAAGGTCAGAGCACAGCAGGCTTGACTCTGAGCCTGCTGCGGGACACCTGCATACTTTTTCTTATGCTGCGCCTCTTCCTTTTTTCTCTTCTTCTCTTCTATCAACCTCGCTCTCTTAGCTGCTGCCTCTTGTCTTTTCTTCTGTCTCCTTTCTAGTTCTTCCTGGCTCAGGATACGTTTTCTTTTGGTAGGTCCTTCCAAAAGTCCTGGGATGAGAGGCTGAAGATGAGGATGAAAACAGACCGGCGGTTATTTACCAAGGTGGGAGCCTGAGGAACGGCCCAGAGCCCACAGGAATCTCTCTTATCTTTGAAATGCAGTGGCTTTGACTCAGGAGCAATAAGGCAAATACTTCACAGAGCACAGTAGGTCTACGCTAGTTTAAGACAAGAAATGAGAAATAGAGATCTGAGACGATATTAACTATAAACACATGTCGGATGAGTACCAAAATTACGGCCAAAAGGATGCTTAGTTGTTGCTGGGTTGCTGTGGGGGGGTTGGGGGGGGGGGGGGTGGAAGGAATGGAGAACAGATGGACCAAGGGGAGTCTCTCTATCCAAAATGTTAAATTCAGCCAAAACACCAGATAGAATAGCAAAGATAGTATAGCCATACCTCATCAATCTCACATCACTGAGTAATGAGGCATTTAATAGAAGGAGATTTTCTAGATGACCAAAGCTTACCCTTTAACACCTGAAACCTTTTAATTTTAACTCTTTTTATTGGAAAATTTCTACAACATATTATGCCATTCCTTAACTTTTTAAGGTTACCGAATATAATTTAACCTTTTATTGATGAATCAATAGTATCGCTCTGCTCATCAGTTATAATAAAGGATTATCTTTCCTTAGAAACTACTGGGGTTCAGTGGGCTGTTTGTACCTGTGCTACAGGGCATCAGAATATGGTGCTTTTAATTTTTTTAACATCTTCTATCCTGCTATCAGCTGCTGCTTTTCAAAACTATTAGTGTTTTGACTTCAACCATCATTCCTTTCTAAATGCTACTTCTAACCTGTTAGGGGTTGGGAAATTTAATAGTCATGCTGATTAGAATTGTAGGTAAAGTAAAAGAAGATAGTCTCTGAGCGATGGGTGAGGGCCCAGCTTACAGAGTAAAGTTCATGGATTTTAGGGGGCAAGGGTTTTTATAATAGCAACTTTAGTGTTCGGAGGGTTTTTTTGCACATTTTTGGTTTTACACTATGTTCTAGATCATTGGAACTTTGACCTCCCAGTAAAACATGGTATGTCATTTGAATAAAGTCATTTAAATAAAGATAACCAATTTCTCTCTTCCAAATATAACAGAGCTAAAACCTGTCACCCACTTCATTTTCAATTTTCAGAATCCTGTTTTTCTCCTTCTAAACTGTAGCTTAGAAGACTTCAGCCTTTGCCAAAGCAGAGGAACTCACGCTCTCTTTATTTCGGAGTGCTCTCCCCGCTTGACTGATCTCATCCAAAAGGGTTTTCTGAAGATCCACAAGTTGCTCAAATGATTTCCTGTCTTCTTTACTCGGCTCCTTAGAATAATCTTTACCTTCATATAAATACATATGACCTTGTAAAAAACAAGCAAAAACCATAAATGAAGAAAAGCTAGAAACAAAAGAAAAACAACTTAATTTCCGTAAGAGATAAGACAGAGGGAAACATGAGAACCCAGCTGCACCTATGTAGATAAGCGAAGAATCTGGTTTCCTAATGGAGCCTGCCTGTGTAATATGAGCAGGGTATTTCAACCTTGGACCATACTCTCACTTACTAGAGCTTATGTTTTATGACAATTACCTCTTGATGGCGCTTTTGAATGTAAACAGCATGGCTGACAGCCCAGAGGGCTGGATTAGGATTCACAAGGTCTGCATTTTACTCTCTGGTCCACTGGCTGGACTCTCGGAGTGACTTTGGATAGATTGCTGGGCTCCTCAGAGACTCCAAGGACCATCCATTCAACAGATAACAGCTCAAATCTCAGGGATATTAAGATCCACAAGATAAAACGCGCTGTGTTGTAAAGTTCACTAGACAGCCAAAGTATGCTTTTATATGCTTTTATATGGACTAGAATATAACTGTCTAAACGGGGTGTCCTTCCTCCTGTAAAACTGGAGGAGTGATACCTCTTAAGAAGAAATGGGAGATCCCCAACACAGAATGCACAGAGACCAAGAAATAATAATAATGATAATGCTAAAAGTGATAGTGACAATGCTTTATACTTGTCGAGCTCTTTGCAAATTCCTAGATAATAATAATAACTAGAATTTCTATAGCAATCTTGGGCAGCTCGGGAGGTAAACAGCTAGAGTGCTGGGCCGGGAATTGGGAAGACTCCTCTTCCTCAGTTCAGATCTGGCCTCAGATACTTAATAGCTGTGTGACCCTGGACAAGTCACTTTTAACTCTGTTTGCCTCAATTTCCTCATCTGTCAAATGAGCTGGAGAAGGAAATGGCAAACCATTCCAGTATCTCTGCCAAGAAAACCCCCAAATAGGGTCATGAAGAGTTGGACATGACTGGAAAAACAACTGAACAACAAAATATAGCAATTTAAGGCTTCCAAAGCACTTTTCAAATATTACCTCATTTGAGCGTCCCAACAACTCTGGGAGGTAGGAGCTATTTTTATCCCCATTTCACAGAGGAGGAAACTAAGGTAGACAGAAATGAAGGGACTTGCCCAGGGTCATACAGCTAGCTAAGTATTTGAGACCAAGTTTGAACTCAGGTCTTCTTCTTACTCTATCCACCATACCACCTAGATGTATTTGATTCTCACAATAATCCTATGAGATTACATAGAAGAACACATATCCATTTTAGGCAGGAGGAAACTGAGGCCCAGGGAAGTCAGATGACTTGCCCAAGGTCACACATTAAATTTGTGGGAAAAGGTGAGATTAGAACCCGAATATTCTGACTCCTAGTCCTATGCACTTTATTATTTTTTAAAGTTTTTAATAATGCTTTTTTTTAAAATACTGTATAGCCTGCCAGCAATTGCCCCACATAGTAGAACCCACTCTTGTAACCCCAAAGTACAGGTAAGCAAAACAACCCAACCTAACCATGGCTGACAGTGTGCATGTCAGTCCACACCGACAGTCCCAGTGGAAGGAGAGGTGAGTGCCACTCTCTACTGTGTGAGAACCAAGGCTGAGAGATAATGATTCTACAGCAGACGATGTTTAATAGTACAATTTGCCAAGTGAATGCTACGTTTAACCCATAGCCACACTAAAATCAGCTATAAGTATGTTTTCTCCAGGGACTAAGAAAGCAAAACATTTTCATTCCCAAGAGAGGTACTGCTTCACACTTGTAACCAAGCCCACCCAGCTGTAATTCTAATTGGCACCCTCTAATTAAATCGGCACAGGAACCATCCACAAAGCTCCCCATCAACAAGTGAAAACACAAAGGGCGAGGAAGTGCCGAACATGACGAACACATAGTTCCCAAGATGCAGACAGTTTCTAACTTGCAAATTTGTTTCTCCTAAAGCGAGACAAATAGAAAAGTAGAGCTTATTAAATTTAATTGTTTTTCTGTTTCATGTAATCACTTACATTGCAACTGGATTTTTTTTTTTTTTTGAGACGCATTGAGGCAGCTCACCAGCCCAACCCCGTCACCGAAAGGCATGGAAGCTCTAACCTTCTGCTTCTCTGACTTGAGACAGCTTACCTCTCCTGGTTCCCCATTCCCCGGGACTCATCACAGTGATGCCTGACTTAGTGTGGACACCCAATTAGCTCAGCCCAAGTGCAGCTCTGAACTCCGGAGCTCAAGCACTCCACCAGCCTCAATCTCCCCATAGCAGTGATTACAGGCACGTAACACCACACTTGGTACAACCGCATTGTTTTCACTTTTTTTTTGCTGCCAGTGTACAGCAGTTTGGCTACGTGATGAGTTGGTCAAGAGGCAATGTTGAATAGGGACAGAATTTTGAGCCTGGGGTCAGAAAGACTCGACCTGGGTTCAAACCCTTGTCTCTGATACTAGTTGACCAGTGACCCGTGACCAGCTGCCAAGACGGCTCAGGCTATTCCCTACAACTTTCCTACTAAGTTACAGAAGTGGTGCAATACAAAGAGTTCCTTGGACATAGAAAGGAGTTCTATGGCAGCAAAATCAAATTTCTGACCTGTTAACAAACATGGGAGTCAACCCTAGAAGCTAACCACCACTGGCTTTTCAATTTTCAAAGAGCCAATTTTCAAACGAACTTATAGAAGACATATATTTATTTGTTGTAGTCTGTAAGATTATACAAATATTCAATAGCCCTTTGTCTGGTATAATGTTCAGTGATGCATACCTGAACAAACCAATAGAGGAACATGAATCAATGAAAATAAAAAACACTATTTACTGTTGTGCTCAAATTTCACAAGGAGAGAACACCTAAAAGGATATCCATTCCAATATCTTGCCAAATGCATGATTCCCTAATAAATATTACAACCAATAGCCATCCTGCCTTTGCTTGAACACTTTCAAGTTACGGTGAACTCACTATCTCCAAAGAAAGCCCATGTTGTTATTTTCAGACATTGTTGGGAAATTCTTCCTTATGTTGAGTCAAAGTCTGCCTGTCTGTAACCTAAAGGCAGCGAGGTCACATGAACAGAGCGCTGGGCCTGGAGTAGGGAAGAACTGACTTTAAATCTAGCCTTAGACACTTACTAGCTGTGTGACCCTGGGCAAGTCACTTAACCCTGTTTGCCTCAGTTACCTCATCTGTAAAATGAGCTGGAGAAGGAAATGGCAAACCACTCCAGTATCTTTGCCAAGAAAACCCCAAATGAGATCATGGAGAGTCAGACACGACTGAAAAGCCACTGAGCAACAACCAGAAGAACAACAGTAACTTCCACACACAATGTCCCCTGGAGCTACCGAGAACACTTCTAACCCCTATTCCACACAACGGCTCTTTGAATTTCTGAAGCCAGACTTCACGGCTCCCTGCTTCGCAGCGTAATCACTGGTGATTCATTTAACCGTCCCCCCGTCCATGACACGATTCTGAATGGCCTCATTTGGGAAATGCCCCACCATGCCAACGACCCTCCTAAAACGCGCCCTCCAGGACTGGCCCCATACGCTAGGTGTGTTTGAGCCAAAGCAGGACGCTCTGGGATCAGTAACCGTCACTCCCTCTGGACAACAACCTTCTAGAAATGCAGCCCAGGAAGGGGATTATTTCTGGAGCGTCACTCGTGGAGCACCACTCACGGACTCAGAACTTCAAAGACTTCGGAAGGTGCCTCCGTGGCTGTCTACTCCCTCCCAGTCCCAAGCAGGCACCCCCGTATAAAATCTTAAACGAGCCCTTCAGCCTCCTCCGAACGCTCTCAGTGATGACGGGCGCTCTGCTTCAAGGCAGTCTGCTCTACTTTGGGATGGGACGCGTTTCCGTTCAACAGTGAGCAGGCTGCCTCCAGAAGCAAAGGCTTCCCCTTATTCGGGTCTTCACAGGAAGCATGGAGGCTCACTTGTTGGGGATGCTGAAGGGTTCTTGGTGAGTTGGGACTAGATGGTGCTTTGCACCAGTTCTGCAGGTAGAGGATTTGGTGGAGAGGAGACCGAAGGCCTTTCAAACAAAAGCACCAGCAGGCACTTCAGAGTTGTGCCTATGGGACAGCAAATGTTCCAGAGCTGCCCCCAAGCGATGACAGGGAACCCCCCCACCCCGTTCCCTGGGGTCGTGTCTACTTTGCATGTGTAACCCCCAGGCTCAGGCTCCAGGGCTGGGAGGGTGACAACTCGTTCGCGCCACACTCCAGGACTTACTCTCGGCCTCGTCTTGGCTTTCCTCTTCTGAAGCAGGGAAGGCATCTGCGGTCCACTTGCCATCCTTGCTTTTGCCCAGGATGTACTCCAGGTCAATCTCTTCCACGCTGCTTCCCTTGGAAGAGAGCAGTTTATCCAAGCCAAACTTGAGGATCTCACTCAACTTTCACGGAGAAAGCAAATAAAAAGACCAAGTGTTAGACTCTGTACTCGGGCACACCAGAAGGGGAGGATGGCTTTCAGGGAGCCACACCTGATACCTCCATCCCACCCCCCAAGCCTGGGCTCAAGCAAGGTGGGGTGGTATGGCCCTGCACTAAGCCATGACCCCTGGGAGACAGCTTGGGCTCTGTCACTTACTAGACAGAAACCTGGGGCACATCAAAGCCCCCCTGAGATTCAATTTCTTCATCTACAAAATAGAGATAGCATTTTGCCATTCATACTTCTGGACGTGGCTGTTAAAGATAATAGAATTATGGAATGGAAGAACTAAAGAGACCTTATGTAGATCACTTAGTCTCAGTGTGTCAAATATGCAGCTCACAGACACTGCATACACTCCTCAGTGTGGCCCCTAACCAGGTTAAAATAAAATGGGGGAATATCTAACCAAATAAATAAAAATACAATAAAATGCAGATAATATTAATATTGGGACAGCTAGGTGGTACCATAGTACACAGAGCACTGGGCCTGGAGTCAGGAAGACTCATCTTCCTGAGTTCAAATCTATCCTCAGGCACTTTAGCTGTGTGACCCTGGGCAAGTCATTTAATCCTATTTGCCTTAATTTCCTCATATGTACAATGAGGTGGAGAAGGAAATGGCAAGCTACTCTAGTACCTTTGCCAAAAAAAAAAAAAAAACAAACAACAAAAAAAAACCAACCTGTATGGGGTCATAAAGAGCTGGACATGACTAAAACAAATGAACAACAATAAAAAATACTAACAGGTGCTTTTCTAAGTCAATCTGTGGTCCAGCAGGATCCTTATGTACAGTTCAGTGGCCCCTGTTTCTTTCTGAGTTTACAGTTCAGTGGCCCCTGTTTCTATTTGAGTTTACAGTTCAGTGGCCCCTGTTTCTATTTGAGTTTGACACCACTGATCTAGACCATTGTTCCCAAACTTAAAACTATATTCAAGATTACTCAATCATCTAAATTTCCTGTTCTGGACTACTTCACCCTCTATGGCCTTCATAGGGTGGTTCTCATTAGCTTAGAACCTGGGGACCAAGGACCTAAGGAGAGAAAGGTGAAAATGGGAAGTCAGATTAGCCTTGGACCTGTACACCTGTCTACAGAGTGGTTTCCAGAAAACACTAAGTCCAAGAAGTCCAATGCCCTTATCTTAAAAAGAAGAAAACCGAGCCTCAGAATAATGAAGTTGCTTATAAAGAGGTAGGACATCTCTGTGTCCTATACAACACTCAGGCATTATGTGAATACAACTTGTGTTCAACACACATTTTTGCTGAATCAATTGCCTTTTTACATAGACAGAAACCAAGGCACTGCTTAAAGCCCAACAATATGGCAGTGCAGTTTAACAGAGAACCCACATTCTAGCACTTAGACCAATAGCTGGCAACCTGTAACTTAGAGAGGAAACCTTGTCAACATTGGTAGGTGATCCTGGCAGCAGGCACATCCTGGTTCTAGTTTGGTGGGCCTAGGCTCAGTCACTGGTTCTATCCCAAATCTCATGACATTGTGTTCAACTTG